CAAGCCTTTCCTTTTCTCAGACTACCTAAACTTTGAAATACGAAGCTTCCATAGTTGGGAGAAGTCTGTCTTTCTGAAAATTCTTCGACTATTGGACCTGTTCGAATATCCACTCTTGACGAGAGAGCGCTCTGAAGGAGAGTACGGACAATGAGCAGGCACGCCCTCCTCTCGTTGGTGAACGCGAGACGCAAAGATTGCATCGCCGTCTGATTCTCTCAACGAGAGAAATTCTGGTTGACAACAGCCCTGTAACCGAAGCGATATCCCACAGCCACAAATATCTTGCACAAAACTTTAGAACGAACTTGCTTCTAAATGTGCCAAATAGTGAAAATCACATTTTTGAGGCCTACCTCCGGAACCGTACAATATTCTGATCAGCATTATGCATAGCGATAATGAATGACGTTATTGTAGCTTTCAGCCGTTTTCTTCAGAAATTCTGCCGTCCCACTTATCCTCGCCTTCTTAATTGCTTTTAAGCCATAGATTATCAGCCCTCACGTCTGAGATTTTCTGTCGCGTACTGCGGCGAAATAACAAAACATCAAGCCAAAACAAGGTCACCATAATGTTATCGTAACCAAAAAAACACAAACAATTTCACCTAAAACAAATTATGTGACATGCTCCAACAAATAGAACGAAAACAGCATGAAAAAACAACCAATCGTAAACAGTGATAAACAAAAAAGTACGAATCAGATCGTGTTACTTTTGTCGGATTTCGAACGAGTCCTCAATGAAGTAGGTGTATTTGTTGGTGTGCCAGCGAAATGAGGAGGATATTCTTGGGTGTCTGTAATAACCGGGTTTTCGGCGGCTGGTAGGTCGTAGCTACGTCTTGGATGCTTTGCCCTCCATGGCTGATGAGCTAAACAAACGAAATTTCGGAGACAAAAAGAGTGGAAAACTGAAGCAAAAAAGTGCACTCATTTATTCGACGATCCCACTTATTTAAAAACTTACTTCCGTACCCGTCCATCACCTCGGAGATACCTGGTGAAACGTTTCGTGCTCTTCTTTTTCTTGTTGATTTTATTTCAGATCTGTAAATAATCATTTCAATAAGAACATCCTCCCGCTTTCACAAGCGGGCTTCGATTAGCGTCAGAGAGTACCTTCTTATCGAGAAGAAATACGTAACGACTCAACCAGTTCACTCTCTCTCACCACAGCGTACGGTAATTTGCAAAAAGATCGAGGTACCATATGGACTGATTGGCCCTCCCCCATCCAATTCAAGGACCTCAACACTCTCGAACTACGTCGTTCATTATGACATGACCGAGCGTGTTCTGAGTACAGAAACCACCGCTGTGGGCTGAGTGCCGGGACCGTGTCAGCGCCCGCGCTGACGCTGACGGCCTTTACTGGGCATGTTGTTTTCCGAGCAGGGCTGCGCACAGCTCTTTATAACAATACGGTATCGTCACATTGTACCAAGTGCGTGCATTTTTTTTTCCAGTCCATACCCTGGCAGGTACAGTGAATCACTCAAGACAAGGGCAGATGCAAAGAAAGCAAAACGTTTCAAGCAAGAAGCAAAAGAGAAGCGTAGAGTAAAAAAGTACTCAACTGAATTACTCAGCGGTTGAAGGAAAAAAATGTCAGAATTGAGTTGCAAAAAAAAGTTGAGCAATACGGCAATAAAAATCCGATTAATCGCCAACCCTGCGGTATCGATCTGAGTCCAACAGGTGGCCTACAACCCTCGACGCTACGCGCTCAACGCTCAGCGCTCTACTCTGGGAGATGCCACTTTCACATTGCATACGGCGACTATGGAGGGTTCTAACACGACGAATCCACTTTGGTGCGGCTCGATTATGCTATGGTCAACGTGAAGATCTACCTGATGCAATCTTTGATAGGATACGATTGCAATCTAAGACAGTATGGGAGATATGGAAAGAAAGCTTTTTCGTGGCATACTCAATTATTCTGCCCTCATTTCGGCGTTTACATTAAACGAGACTTCGTATTGACTGGCTGGAAAACAAGAAAAACTCAACTTCTGGAACGAACATGAATCAGTGCAACTGAAAATGTAACTGACATGGTAGGAGTTCCAAACATTCCGATAATAGGTGCTTCAATGACAAAAACGTTATTCCCCATTATCGAGCTTTCACTGGTTCCGGACGAAGATGCTGTCCCATCTTCTAAAGAGTAAGCACTCAAAGATAAGAAAAAAAAACTACGTAAAAAAAGAAAGAGGACTGAAACCGAGGGCTAATTTTGGACAGCACCTATCCAATGATATATTCGATGCATATCACAGCTAAATATTCATTCGTTTTCGTACATGTACATACAGAAAAAAAAGATATCCATTCATTCTTTGTAAAGTAAATATAAGACTGAACGTGATTGTTGATTAATGGACTAGGAGCTATGTAGTACGACTTATAGTAACCACTCGTCGTACCAGGAGTTGATGAGTATAGGTGATTACGAAAGTCGGTAATATTTAGATTATTATTCTTGCGTTCTCGATTTTGGGTTAAGGTTCTGGCAGAAGGGTTTGCAAGGTTGAAAAAATAGTGTAGTCTTACTAGTGCTCTCCGGTCCAGTGCTTGTGCATATATCAGTTTTCGATGGTACTCTGAAACAGTGCAATATCCATTATCATTCCAAGGTTGATGAAATGTTGAAGTGAAGGAAAAATTGGAGCATACCTGTTTCGGGTCGATATTGTCTCACAAATAATGTTCCTCTCACTTGTATTATCTTCGAACGGCACCTTCTGAAAGCAAGTAATAATTTNTTTACCTTCAGTTTTAATCAACTTCCAACTGCCTCGACCTCCCAAAAGACATGTGCTGTCTAGGATTGTAGAATAAAAATTGACTGCAGATTTCACTATGTCGCTTACTTCGTCTTTCACGCATTTCATGGCAACCCGAACCTCTCCATCCTCCACACCATATGCGGGGTAATCCAATTTCATTTCCTGCGCTTGAACAGCCACCTAGAGTGGTAGCCTTTCAACAACGTATATGCCACTTTTTGGACTTTGAGGAAGGGACGAAAATACCTACCGAAGGCTCTGGAATACATGTTGAATCATTCAGGTAAGAGTCCGCACTGAAACGATTGGAATGGGTTTTATTTTCCGAGGAAAACACTGAACTACCTTTGACTCAACGAAATAGTCTTTTCTTACACCGTAAACTACCACTAGGCGCAACTATCAATGAATCTTTAAAAAATGTTGAAATAACGTAAAGATCACATTGAAATTTTTGGCCCAGAATAGCATCGTTTCAGGGACTTCCTGATAAGCATGTTCCTCTGAAAGTTGCGTCTAGGTTAGTTCGCAAATTCCCGAATAGCAAGTTGTTCGTTTTGAGGTTGTAATGTGCTGTTAAGGTTTCGTCATGATGCACTGATATGATGTTGCAAGACCGTTGGAATCAAGCTTTCGGCATTGATGCCATGTGATGTGTTATCGCCTTAATGCGTGGAATACTGAACAAATTATAAAGATCCATACCATAGCTCCAGCTCAGATTCACCGTGGTTCGGTCTTTCCGATTCTGCATGCCACTTTTTTTCCGCGCTGTCACTTTGGCTGGCTTCCAAGTTCTGAACTATCTAAATTGTCTACATTGGACCTGCAGTAATCAAAGTAGAAAAGAGTGAAGAGAGTCAAGCAACTAGCAGCAGTTATCCAATATTTAAATAAGTGGACATCGAACAACCACTGTTCAGACATGGGCTTGGAGATTTTGTTGAGTGAGCACGATATATCGAACCACCCTCAACAGAGTATGGACGGACTACACGACACAATGCAAGAATTTTACCGATGAACTGGCCAACCTTCTTTCTTTCCAGCTACCTCTGCAATTACCTGCTCACTCGGCTCCGTATTGCTACTACCAAGCGCTTCTGAAGCCGCATAAGGCTCATGTCTATTCAACTGGATTTGGTCACGACCGGGCTGAAATTGGAAAGGCCGCCGTAGCACCTCCAAAGTGATGTCCGGAATACGAGTAGTACTGACCTCATTCTTCACTGAATGACATTCTTCATTGATTTCTGAACCACCACATTCTGCGAGCTGGTTTTCTTCACCATTTTCTGACGGAAAAGAAGATGGCAAGGCCTGTTTGTCTTCTTCCAGAACCTAAAGATAATTTTGAGTGGCGATAAATACAACCTAGTATCAGAAACAGTAATTTTATAATGCTTAAAACTACCGCTAGGGGAGGTTGGAGTGGAAATGATAATGGAAGTGATAAGAATATCAAAATATCTGACACCCACGCCACAGGCATCTGATTGGAGTTTAAAAATTCCGAATAACCAAAACTGATGAACGATTAGCCTGGCGGCAACTTTTATAAATTTTACTATCATAGAGAATTCCTACCATGTCTTCTTGGAGTTCGTATACACGTTCTATATGTTCCGTCCTTCTACTGCGATGCAGCCATGCGAAAGGATTCAGTAGCGAAGCAATTCCAGAAAGCAGTGTCATATATGAGAAGCTAAATACACCAGCAGTGTCATATATGAGAGACTAAGTACACAATTTCAAGAGTATGGTATGACAAGGATCACATAGATTATCTTGCAGCTATCGTGAGTGTAAAAAACCTGGAGATTCAAGCAGGAAATAAGCACATTTCGTAACTGTTCCAATCAATAAACATTGTTTTGTTTCCCGCCTCTTTCAAATAGAGCTTGAGCTAACTGTCTACAAATCCTGCAAATCCCTCATTACGGATAGCGACTCGTTGCAACATTCTCTGGTGTTGTTTATGGAGCTGGCGGCGTCTGTGAAATTCGTTCTGGGATCGCAATACCGTAACCCGCGCTCATGTGCTTAGTTGCAGCTGGCATGAATTTAAAAGTGAAATGAAAGCCACCAGGATGGGGAATGTACAGAAAAG